AGGTACTGGGCTCCTGGTTCTGGGAACTCCCCAAAATGTTCTTAATACCAACTCATTTCTTGCTCTTAAAGCTCAGAGCCCCAGCAGAGGATGTGGCCCGTGGGAAGTTCTCATTTAAGATTTTTTTTTAAATTTTCACCTGTTCCCTAGTTTTTCATAAAAATTTGGGATTCTGTTATCTTTTCTAGTATTACTAAAAATTCTGCCGAGATTTTGCGCTCTAAGAATGGAAGCCGTGATTTCTCATGATGTCCTCAGAGCTGTCAGGGGGTAAATTTCTGTGGGTACATACTGTACCATTCTGGGGGTACATCTGAAATAATTTTTCAGAGGATAAGATAAATGTATCCTCCAGTGTTTCTTTGTTATCTGCTAGGAAGGAATCGAGGCTAGAATTGCCTATTTTTGTTTAACCACATTTCTTTTTCTGATTGTGCATTGAGGTATCGTTAGTGCCTTTAGGTGGAATAATTTCAAGTGAATACGCTTTTTAGTAAACTAGCACCTCTTCAATTTCCTCTTAGCCCGATTATAAGCTGCATTTCATAAGTTGTTTATGAAGGGGGGATAGGATGAGAAACATTGCCAGGACTGCAGGAATACTGTGGCAATGTCTGTGAAGCACTACCTGCTAGATGCCAGGGCTGCTAACCAGAGGGCCACTATTCTTGCATGGAACCATATTATGAATTTATTGTACCATATTATGAATTTATTTTCTTCCTGAGAAACTCCTTAGGTATTTCTAGAATATGGGTAAGTAGTTTAAAGACTGATTCAAATACAAATGTTTATAGGCAAGGAGCTAAGTTCGGTGGTTTCAGTGCTGCTTCTAAACTTGACTTTATACTTGAGTCCCCAAATGATTGCCCAGGATCTGTTGCTGACCAGCTAATTATTTAATAGTTTTGCTTTCATTGTGAAGATTTGGCTGCCCTTGGGGAATGTTTGTTTACTATTCCAGTTCTACCAGTCCCACTTATGAAGTATGGCCCAGGTACAGTACTTAGGCTTTTATATATAAAATAGACATATACTGTGGAAGGAAAGGGAATTTGAGATGAAAAAAGTTCTTTTTATAGCAATAGGCCATGGTCTGGAATTTAGTGTGGCATCACTTTGACCTAATCTGTCCACATAATCTCCAAGGCTATCCATGTTGAAAAATGAAGGCGTTTAATTTGAATGTGATACCCATATTGTGATGAGGTCAACCAGAATCCAGGTTTTGATTGTTTAGATTCAGATGCCAGACCAACAGACTGTGCTTCTGATCAAAGGTATAATCTAGTGTTTCTTAGCAATCACGTCCTTCTAAACATGAGCATGATAGGACCTTAGGAAAAGACCAAATACAAATTCTGATACAATTATATTTATCTGTATTTTCTATTATAATCTTTTTATAATAATGTATTTTCTGTTATAATGTTGTATACATCTTTTGACATTCTTTTTAAATGTTTATTTTTATCTTTAGATTTAATGTTCCACACGATGATAGTTTTAAATGTAAAGAGGCTGGAATTAAACATCAGTATCATGTAATGGCTCCAACTTTAAATTACCACACAAGTCCTTGGACCTGGTCAAAATGTAGTCAGAAATATATCACGGAATTTCTAGAGTAAGTCTGATAATTGGGCATTTATTAGATTATAAGATTTGAAATGTGTACTTTGAAAACGAGTTCAATTTCTGTTTAGTTTTTCCTTAATCTTAAGTTAACTTTCACTGTAAAAATGGATGTGTAAGAGTTGTATACATGTGTTATTTTCCTCCACAAATAATTTTTATTGCAGTTCAGACCTAGCTATTCTTTATTCAGACTCTTTTCTTGTGATGAACACTGTTTGGGGAGAGACGTAATGGGAATTTCAGCTTTTGTATGGGTGTTTGAATTTTTTCAGATGATACTAATATTTTGAGAGGAGTTTGAGTGACTCTCGTTTGAGGTACTCCAGGAAGATAGAAAATTGCTAAAGTCAAATTGTGAGTTAGCCAAATAGCGCTCTATCATCATGGGGGTGCCATGATTACATTTTCCGTATTCTCTAACTTTCCATATTCTGTAAAGGCTCTTTCAAGCGCTGAAGAGAAGTGGTGGATCTAGGTTTTTCTTGCTTTGTCTCTCCACCTTTCACTTGGTTTCTCTGCTTTCTGATTTCTTTTATCCAAATGGTGTTTCCATCTTGACACTGAACTTGTCCAAAAGGCAAGCCAAAGCTCTTTCCATCTACTTTTTGTATAGATGCAATACTACCTTTCTTCTACTCTACATTCCAATCGTCAATTAATCAGCATCTCTATTTTCTGTTTACCTCTCTCTTTGTGAGAACTATGGGAATAAATAAACCACGGTGTGGAATGTATGTTCAAAATTATATCCCAATTTATAACCAACAGTGATAATTTATCCTTATAGGGGAACTTGATTTAAGCACAGAACATATAGTTGCTGATCTGTACGTGATTATGTATAACTCTTTCAGTGGTTAACTGATGTTTTGGTTACAAACACCAGTGGTATGGTTTTCTTAGGGGGAGAGGGTAGTTTAGAATGGGGTAATATTCCGATCCTTTTCAATGGCAATTTTTAAAAGTTACATGCTCATTTCATTGAAAAATTAGTATGTCCTTTCAGCCAGTAAAAATTTCCAAAAAAATTATTATAATTATGGCAGTGGAACAGATGGTTGCTTTTAACACGGCTGGAATATTGGGGTAAAATTGAACATTGTCACAGTTTTCTGTAGACTAAACATCACATGGCAAAGTAGGAGTAACACATATTACCTTTGCTGGGCTCTTTTCCAAGTTATTTAAGTATTTCATATATTTGGATAGCAAGTTATACGATAGATATTACCACTGTCACTTTTCAGATAAAGAAACTTAAGCTCAGGGAGATTCAGTGGGCTTTCCATGGCCATGCATCCTGGGATGTGCTGGAGCCAAAGCGTAAGCCCCTAAGGCCAGTGCTCTTGACTTTGCCACACTCCCTCCTCAAAGAAACCTTTTGTGGTAGAGACAGCACAAACTTTTTGAAATTCCTTTTTTGTTGAGGCTGTTGTTGGTTGGAAGTTGAAACACACTTTTTCAAATGATTTGAAAATGTATTTTATTTTTACAACATCTTGACAGGTTGGACATTACATTTGAGGCATCGCTGTTGGAAAGCAAACTAGACCAATAATGTGATATGAACATATGTCTTGTAAATTGCATTCTGATAGTTGTGTTTGTCATTTTTGAATTGCTGCCTTCTGGGTGATTGAGTGCAAACAGACATATTAAAGATCCTTTGTCAAGTGTCATTACGTACAGGACCATTGCTACACTGATATTGATGTGAGTTGATTTTAATTTAAGAAAAATACGGATATTCTCTTTGAAAGTGAGGTATTCTAGGCCAGACGCAGTGGCTCACCTGTAATCCCAGCAAGGCTGAGAGGCTGAGGCAGGTGGATCTCTTGAGCTCATGAGTTTGAGATCAGCCTGAGCAAGAGCGAGACCCCATCTCTAAAAATAGCTGGGTGTTCTGATGGGCACCTGTAGTCCCAGCTACTTGGAAGGCTGAGGCGAGAAAATCACTTGAGCCCAAGAGTTTGAGGTTGTTGTGAGCTACGATGCCATGACACTCTACCAAGGGCAACAAAAGTGAGACTCTTTCTCAAAACAACAACAACAACAAAAAGAAAGCGAAGGATTCTAGTAAATGTGGTAAAAAATCTTGTACTGAAACACATCCAGTGAATTTACAATATTCTATTTTCTGTCTTGGTATAGTACTGGCCATGGGGAATGTCTTCTTGACAAACCAAATGGAAGAATATATGACCTGTCTTCACAACTTCCCGGATTGATGTACGATGTAAACAAGCAGTGTGAACTTATGTTTGGTCCTGGGTCCCAAGTGTGTCCTTACTTGGTAAGCAAAATGTTCTCCTTTTGTTTGAAAACTGCCATAAAGTTAATACTAAGAACATATTTCAAAATGTACATTGATTCTCTGGAAACAGATGATGAACTAAATATACTTTCTAAGTCTTTGAAAATTTGGTGTCTGGCAGGGAGTGGTTAAAAAAAGGAAGACAAATACTTATTTAGTGCTTTGTGCTTACTATATGTCAGGTACTATCTTGAGAACTTAAAGGTTACCTTTGTTAATGCTCACAAATTCTCAATCAGTATAGTCATGTAGATCATAGAGCCACAGAGAAGTAATATAACGAGAAAAGTAATAGCATTTCATATTTATTTTCAAATAATATTAGGGTGAGAGGAGAAAATAAAGGTATTTTGATACTGAATTGTTGATTCCTGAATTAAAGGCCTCAGAAATCAAATAGCCTGCATTTTCCTTTACATAGATTAAAAGTCAGAGGAAATTTGTGGGCATGTTGTTCAGTTTTCATTAAGCAATTACTTTATAATCTATTTTGAGGATTTTTCAGAGATTGGATACTTTGAATTTCCACTGAGACAGTTGATCCTAATACTTGTAGTGAATCTATCGTCATGATTTTCTTTTGGTGGGGGGGGGGTAAATCTAGGATTCAGTTTAGAATTGATGCGATTGCTGTGGTGAATCCGTACTCTGCTTTCCCATACAGAATACAGTAGTCATTTTCTTCGTTTTCTTCATTTTTTTTGTATACCTTTGCCAGCTTTTGTACTGCCTCCCTAGATTGTGAGGATCGTTGGGCCAGAAATGCAGCCTTTTCATTCATTTAAATAAATATATATGCCCAGTGTCCAGATCAGAATCCTACCACCCAGTAGGTTCCACAAAATGAATGTTTATTCAATGTTGAGTGAATGAATGAATGAATGACACTTAACAGTGAGTACAGGGACATTCAAAGTATATTTCACATAGTGGTTATTCTTTGTAAAACCTTAAATTTATACTCACAAATTTAAGTAAGGCTTTCAGCATCCATTGTGAAGGGGGATGATTTACCTTAATATATCATTATATCACATTTCTTTCCAACTTGATTTACACACTAAATAAACTTTGAATTTAAATTTGGAAAAAGAAAAGCGTTATCTTGAGCATAGCGCCTGTGACCCTCTGTGGACTTTCTTTCTTTTGAAAACTTTAGAACCCTTTGTTCCAGAGTTGAAAGTATGCATTAAATTCGCAAAATAGGAAACTTCAGTATACATTATACAGTATTTTTATGCACATTATTCATACATTCCACCATTGCTTCAAAGGGGCTTTTGGGAACTCCCTGTGAATAACATTTAACAACAAAAAGTCCTTTAGAAAAATATCTTGTAAAGAGAAAAAACTGTCTCATGTAATTTTAAATATTTCCACCAATTCATATCTCCCATTGTTCAATGAATAAATAAAAAAATCAAAAAAAATTTTTAAAAAGGGAATGGCATCACTTTATGTGTTCAGAGGAAAAATCAATGACTGGAACCTATTTAGTAAAGATTTTTATTGATTTTGCAGCCCTGGCCATACAGATCAGCCTATAAACCAGTGCATTACACTGAACTGACCCAGGGTTGTGGTGTCCTCCTTACTCTCGCCCGGCTGTTCTTTTTGCAGAAACAGTGCAGGCGTCTCTGGTGCACAAGCGCAGAAGGAGTTCACAAAGGCTGCCGCACTCAACACATGCCACTGGCAGATGGGACGAACTGTGGTCCTGGGATGGTAGGTTTTCTTGAAGGGTGAGTCTTGTGTCAAAAGATTATCCCAGGGTGTAACAGCTCTGTGTTTGAGCACTCTGTTCATTGTTTCCCGTTGAGTTTTGTTGAGCTAGTGGTTTTGTTGAGCTAGTGGAATTCATGTTACTGCCATGTTTGTGTTATTAGTACATTGCCTGTTGAATTACAATTTTAATTTTATCCTTTTCTTTCCAGTGGATATAGCAGACAAATATTTAAGTTGCATATAGTTGTTACATAACGGACGTATGGATGGGTGGTTATCTAAGCCCATTTATAGCCTTATTAGTAAAGTTTAGAACAGACATGAAGAAGATTTTGGCAAATTCCCCAAATTTGTGAACCTTTCCCTTGCATACATTTTCTCCCGTACAGTTCAGTTAAGTATAATTGTAAGATTTAAGTGGCTTCTTTGGATCTTCGTTGTTTCTGAATACAACACATCACACCCCTAAACTAAACTGCCTACCTGCTACCTCTTCAGCATCCTGACCTTGATCACTAACGAAATCTTGCCATTCACCATCATTGAGCATCACGTTGACTAACTCCGTCAAGGTGATGTGTAGATGAAATAAGGAAACGTGTTAGTTGTGAGGACAAAGTGCGATTGTGCTGCGTGTTGCAGCACAGGCTTCGTGGTTGCCTACATTTTTAGTCTGTCAGACTTCTTTGCACTTCTTTGGACCACAAGGAACACTTCCATGAAAACAGGTTGCCTGGGCGGGTACAGTGGCTCATGCCTGTAATCCTAGCACACTGGGAGGCCGAGGTGGGTGGATCATTTGAGCTCACCAGTTTGAGATCAGCCTGAACAAGAGTGAGACCCTGTCTCTACTAAAAGTAGAAAAACTGAGGCAAGAGGATTGCTTGAGCCCAAGAATTTGAGGTTGCTGTGAGCTATGAGGCCACGGGACTCTACCAAGGGTGACAAAGTGAGACACTGTCTCCAAAAAAAATAAGAAAGAAAGAAAAGAAAAGAAAACGGGTTGCCTAATGCTGCCTCTCTGTTCCCTTCACATTAATCAAATGTAAAAGCTTCCTAAAAATTAAAGGTCAGTTCAGTAGCCGAACTTGTGTCTGTGCTACTTACCCACTTAAAATATTTCTGCTGGCTTTTGCCTTTCTCTTGAATTATTTTCCCATCAGAAAGCATGCGTTTCTTATGATTATTGATCACGTTACAAATAAATTGGTTAGTAAAGTTTATTTGGTACTTCCACAATTTTTGTTGTAGCTGAAGTACTCATTGAAATTGTCAAACACTCTAATTACCTTTTTGTAGTTTTAGGACCAAAGTTTTAGTGGACGTTTTCAGTTTAGCTAGTGATGAAATATAAAATTTAATCTTTAACTTACATAAAATTTTTTATTTGGAGATAAGAATTATTGAAAGGACTTTACTTTTTCCCCCCTTACTTCTTGTGACTTCTAGTCAATGATTGATATATTTACAAATATCAAGAGATATACAATTTATGGCTAATATATTGAATAGTCTAAATATGGTTTGGCCATAAGCATGATTATTTTTTACTAATAAAAAATTGTATTTACTTTGAAGCATTCAGAATGTCCGCAAACTTTACTTATTTTTGCAATTACAGCATGGTATTCAGTTCACGTAACAATAATTATTTTGTATAAGCTGGATCTGAGACAAATACTACCGTCCCAGGTGGCACCTGTGGCTCAGTGGGTAGGGCGCCGGCCCCATATACTGGAGGTGGTGGGTTCAAACCCAGCCCTGGCCAATAAAAAATAAACATTAAAATTTAAAAAAAAAGAAAATACTACCACCCCCATGCATAACTAATGTGTGCTGTACACCATCAAGAGCCTGCTTTACATTTCCATGCCAATTTATAACCCCATACTGTACCAGGCAACGTTAGTGACTATTAAACATACTACCAGGATGGGCTGTCTGAAGACATGTTGGGTAGTGTGTTAACTATACAAAAAAGATACTGTGTAGTTTAAAAACGAATCTTACACAGCCTTCCACTTTAATTTTTGTCTTTAAAAGGAGGGAGCTGTATTCAGGGAGTTAAATGCTTTGTAGATAAGGAAAAAAAAATCTGTGCTAGAACCAATTTATTCATCTTCATCCTCATCTTCTTCCTCTTCCTTCTTTTTCTTTCTTTTTCAGCCTGGATGACTCACTCCCCTTTTTGTTGCATCAGGCTTTCCTTTAGCTCAGTATGCAGCAATATCCTTTTCGTATTTTTCCTTCGGCTTTGCAGCCTTCACAAGGCTGCTTGTCACCCGCAGCAGTGTTACTCCACATCTCTCCCAGCTTCTCTGCAGCATCACCAGTGGATGGGCCGCATGTTCTCCTTTGATCTGTGGATGATACTCAGAACAGGACAAGAACAAGGCCGAGGAGGCCTCGTGGGCACATTGAGATCCTTGAACTTCTTTTATGTTTTCACTGAGGGAGGGATACAGGTTTTCATTTCTCTTTCATAACGGGTCTTTTTTGCCTTTGCCATACATTCAAATTTTCCTTTCTCTTTAGCAGACATAGTCTTCCGCCTCTCTGAGAACTTCTTAGAAAACTCTGAGCATTGACGGAAGCACCTGGGTGCCTCTTCTGTGCTCCTCCTGACAAGTTTACACAAAGAATGCACATGATGACTTTCTGCTTCGGGGCTTCTTAGGACCTCCTTTGCCATGTTCAGTTATTTTTCCCCACTGAGGCACAGAGTTGCCCAGTTTCCACCCAACTCTGCCCTGCCCTGGAGCTATCTGTATGGAGCTCAATGTACTGCAGTGGCTGTGTATAAACATAGCTTTCTGAAATTAAGGTGTATGAGTACAATGTGCAGATCTTAGGTGTATAACTTGATAGATTTTAACAAATGTAGGTGCACATTAGCCAACACCCCAATGGAAAGTAAAACATTTCTATCAGGCTAAAATGTTTATGCTGTGATCTGTCAAATTATATTTAAAAAAATCAAGGCTCCTTTGAATTGTTTATGGAAGATTCCTACAAAATACAAGACACACAGCATTCTACTCTGAGATTTTGTTTTTGTTCATCTTTAATATGGCTTTCTCATATTTAATGACTTGTTCTACTGGGGAGAACAAAGCATTTTTACTGCTAATAAGTTTGGCTTATAGGATCCGTTCATTCAGCAAAGATTGATTAAAGGCTTACTATGTCAGGCACTATTTTAGGTGCCCACATACATGAGTGAACAACACAGGAAAGGTCCCTGTCCTCATGGAGCTGACATTGTAAGGGGAGACTAGAATATTACAAATTATTAATGTTATAGTACCATCAACCTGACCAGTGATATGGACAGGAGAAAGATTGCAAGTTTTGTGATAGGAAAGGGCAGATTGTAATTTAAAATATGATGGTCAGGTTAGAGTTTATATGAAGTTACTAAATTAGCTGTCTTAAAGGAGGTGAGAGAGTTAGCTATGAGGTCATCTGGGTAAGCGAGTTGCAGACAAAGGGAGCAGCTCAGGTCCTAAGTCTAGAGAATGCCTGGAAATGTACAAGGAAGAGCAGGACCAACACTGTGGCTGGGGTGGAGTGAAGAGAGAAACTTGTAGGAAGTAACTAGAGGAATATTACGTAGGGCTTTGCAAACCATTGTAGGAACTTTGCATTTACTCAAAATAAAATAATGAAGGATTTGAGTGGAATTATCCCCTGTTTGACTTAGTTTAACAATTAAGTTTATAAAAAGATCATCTGGTGGCTATATTGAGGCTACATTGTCCACGCAAGAGTGGAAACAGAGGCTGTTTACTTAAGGAGGTATTGCAGTGATAGAGATGAGAGATGCTGGCTGCTGAAACCAGAGTGGTAGCAATGGGATGGTGAAAAGTTAATTCTTTTTATAGATGTTAGGAGAAACTAGAACATTTAGAATGTATTAGATGTGGAGTGTTTGAGGAAGAAAAAGAGACAGGATAGGATGACTGAGTTTTTTATTTGAACAAGTTAGATCAACACAAGAGAAGTAGGTTTTGAGGAAGAAGACGACTTTGGTTTGGGGTTTGCTATGTTTGAAATATTTATTAGACATTCAAGTAAACCTGAGTAAGCAGCTGTACTGTATATGCAAGCCCAGAGTCCAGGAGCAAGAGGATGGGGAGTGTTCACTGAAAAGAATAAAATACAAAGATGACGCATCTGGAGACATTCTGACATTAAGAAGAAGAAGAAAGAGCAGAAGAAACTCAGAATATTAATCATGAAGGAAGGAAGAAAGCCAAGAGTGCATGGAGCCCTAGAAACCAAAAAGAAAAAAATATGTCAAAGAGGAAAAGTGATGAACTGTGTCACATACTGCTGTTAAGTCTAGGAGGATGAAAGGGACAAGTGGCCACTGGGGATCTGCTATGAGCAGATTCTTGGAGGAATGGGGTGGGGCTGTGAGAGAACAAAGAGAGTTAGACAATGAGCATAGACACCTGTTGCAAGGGAAAGTGGGGCAGTAACTCCTGAGGGAAGTAGTGAGATCTCAGAAAGCTTTCCTTATTGCCCTTGTTTTAAAGTGGGAGAAATAAGAGTTTGTTTGTATGATAATGGGAATGATGTGGAGAGGTAGTCTTCAAATTATCTGGAGCAAAGGATCAGGTTTCTTTCTCTTTTTAAAAATTTCTGATCATTTATAAACTGATACTTTTGTAAAAAATAATAAATATTATTGTCACTAAGAAAATAAAAAAGGCAAAATATAAGCCAGATTTTCCTATGGGAAATAGTATTTTCTATTCGTCAAAAAAATTAAAAATAGAATTATCATATGATATAACAATTCTACTTCTGGGTGTATCTCCAAAGAATTGAAAGCAGGATCTTAGAAAGATTTCAGTTTACCCTTGTTCATAGCATTATTCATAATAGCTAAAAGGTAGATTCAACCCAGTGTCCATCCATGTATGTGAATGGATAAACAAAATGGGCAGTATCTGTATGCTATGGTTGGAATGTTTGTCTCTTTCAAAACTCTTGTTGAAATTTGATTACCAATCTAACAGTATTGGGAAGTTGGAAGTGAGGCTTTTAAGAGGTGATTAGACCATGAAGGAAGAGCCCTCTTGAGTGGGTTTAATGATTTTATTAAAGGGCTCTTTTTGGGCCTTCTACCTCTGCCTTGCTCTCCAAAGAATGCTATATGCAAGGCGCCATCTTGGATGAAGTGAGGGGCCTCATAAGACACTGGGCTTGCTGGTACCTTGACCTTAGACTTCCCAGAACCCAGACCTGTGAGAAATAGATGTCCGTTCTTTATAAATTACCCAATATTGGATATTCTGTTATAGCAGCACAAATAGAACTAAGATAACACATGATGGAATATCATTCATCCTGAAAAAGGAAGTTTTGACACATGGTACAACATGGATGGGTTGACCTTGGGGACATTATGCTTTGTGAAATAATCCAGTCACAAAGAGACAGATCTTATATAATTCCAATTATCTGAAATATCTGCAGTAGTCAAATTCATAAACAGAGAGTAGAGTGGTAGTTATCAGGAGGTAGGAGAAGGTGTAAGTGGTAGTTGTTTGATGGGTTTCCGTTTTTACAAGATGAGAAAGTTCTGGGGATTGTTCTGAGATGAGAAAGTTCTTGAGATTGTATTCTGGAGATTGATTGAATATACTTAACACTACTGAATTGCCCACTTAAAAATGGCTAAGATGGCACATTTTCTATTGTGTGTTTTATCACAATTAAAAATACAGGCAAAATGATTTTTAAATTATTTTCTTTAATAATCATAAAATTATTCTGTGAAACTCTGATAGAAATTTCTAAATGCACACTCTTAATATTTGTGCATAATCTCCCCACAGACTGGTAACTCGTTCATAGACCAGCATCAGTGCAAGGCCACCCACACCTTGATTAGCTATCACTGAAATGAGAGAGACATAGAAGAGAGCAGAGAATTTCTGGAGAGATGTTTTGAGTAGTGAGAAGGCATCAGATTAAGGGCACATGTGGAGGGATTGACTTTGTCTGTGATCATGGATTACTCGTGTATACTAATAGGCAGCAGGGCTGAGTGTCTGTCTGGATACAGATTCTGTTAGGTGGGCAGAATGGGTGGTGGGAGATTGTGGGGAGATTCTTCTGTAAGTTTCCATTTTCTTGATGAAAGTAAAAAACAAGATCATCTTTTGAGATTTTGGATAGGAGAAAGTAGAAAGTTATCTACTGGAGTGGGAGAGTGAGCCAGGTGTGGTGGCTCATGTCTGTAATCCCTGCACTTTGGGAGGCTGAGGCGAGAGGATTGCTTGATGCCAGGAGTTCAAGATCAGCCTGGGCAACAGAGCAAGGCCCTGCTCAATAATAATAAATAGAGCAATGCCTGTGCTCAAAGGGGTAGGGCGCCGGCCCCATATGCTGGAGGTGGCGGGTTCAAACTCAGCCCCAAACAAAAACTGCAAAAATAAATAAATAAATAAAATAATAATAATAATAAACAAATAAATAAGCCTCATGTGGTGGTTTCCGCCTGTGATCCTAGCCACTCAGGAGGCTGAGACTGGAGGATTACTTGAGACCTGAAGTTTCATAGCTCATGACAGTGAGCTATCGATTGTGGCACTATAGTCTAGCCTGGGTGACATAGTGAGAACCTGTCTCTTTAAAAAGTTAAAAACAAAGAATGGGAGCATAAATACGTGTCTTTGAGTAAAAAAAAAAAAAAAAAAAATGGAAGCATGGAAGTATTTGGAATTAGCTGAATGTTTATTTGCTTCTTTTAAAAAAATCATATTTCACTTTACTGTTTAATTTTCCTTCATGCCCAGGGAGACTTTAAATCTCAAGGACAAGAGAAACATTATACTCTTTTTGCATTTTATAGATCTTCCTCAGTGGATAGGAAATACTTGTAAAGTGGTGTCAAATGTAATCACATTTCTGAATTAATAACAATTTTCTTTCAGTTGTTTACAGTTTGTTCTTCTATTGATCTTTACACTACTGTTATAATTATTGTGATGTCCTAAATATATACGTGAATTGTTTATCTTTTTGCTTATTATTTTGTAGCATTGCCACCATGGGCTATGTGTAAATAAAGAAATGGAAGCACGTCCTGTAGATGGTGAATGGGGACCGTGGGGACCTTACAGTTCTTGTTCACGAACATGTGGAGGTGGAATCAAAAGCACAACCAGGCTCTGTAATCGTCCCGAGTATGTCTTTTTTATGTCACTGTAAATTAAGATTATCTCAAGGCACCAGAAAGTAAACATCAGTTTCATTCACTTCTAAAACTGGAGGTCAGTCTGTAAGTTTCTGAGAGTCAGAAAACTTCTGGAATAGGCTAAGCCGTATTACTTCAGATTTTGCTACATTCTGATCTTAAAAAACAAGAACAGAAACAATAGGTTCAATTTTATGTCTTAAACTGAGACCGAACCATTTTCTTTTCTTTTTTGTGTTTGTTTCTGATTTAGTACGTGTGTAAATTTGAGACATACTTCTAAATATGAATGACAGTAAAGTGATGGCGTTTTCACATTTACTGTATTCCTAATGAAAGATCCTGGCTCCTTCCACTTGTATTTTGACTCCTCTCGACGAATTATGTAGTTTGGTTACCAGTTTTTTACTGTTTTGTATAATTTGACATATCGTATTTTCTTTCTTTGCTTCCCGTATCATAGATGCATCATTGCCCTTAGCTGAATAAGTTCTGAAGCGTATCTCCCCCCCATCAAACAATTTAAAAGAGCTTAGAGAGTCTATAAAGATTTTTAAATAATGTTTCTGTTGTATGTGTCATGTATAGGTTGATAAGCAAGACGATACTCTTTACATGAAGACTTATTAACAAGCATTTGTAATACAGAAAGGTGACATACTCTGAATAAAATTTAGTTCATTGACATTTTAGAATAAGTAAATTGTAGTAGAAATCTTTGTATTCTAAAAATTTTATTAAAAAAATACTTTTATTTTTCTGGTATAAGTTTAAATAGACATGATGTAGATTTATACCATGAAAGTTCTTGAAATGTGCAGTTTACTTACTCAACACAGAACTGAGTAATCAGATGCATGTAACAAAGATGCGTGTATATTTCCTTTTTATTTAACATGATGTCTTCCTTTATTATCGTCTATATTATGTATTTTTTTGAGAAGCTGAACAAATACTTTTTGAAGTTTTAAAACTTCACATCACTAATTTATGAGTTAATCTAGTCAAAGATAAGGTATTTCTGCCCTCCAGGCCTCAGTGTGCACCCCAAGGTGGAGATTTTTATGGTACATTAGTCATGGAATTGCTTAAAACCTCTGTTACATCTGTTAAAAACAAAAAATGTTAGTGGAACATCAGTGGTTATCCAAATCCTGGAAAGAATGGAAAAGTTTTAGAAATAAATGGCCCAATTAACATTGTACTGATGTGCTTTAAAATGTAATGAATTTGACTAGGCCAAGAAATGGAGGAAAGTACTGTGTGGGCCGCCGGATGAAATTTCGCTCCTGTAATACTGATTCATGTCCGAAAGGCAAGCAAGACTTTCGAGAGAAGCAGTGCTCTGATTTTGACGGTAAACATTTCAACATCAATGGTCTTTCCCCTAATGTGAGGTGGCTTCCAAAGTACAGTGGGAGTAAGTAATTATACTATTTCTTTGATGTAAATTTTGGGGGGGACATAGGAACACATAACTTTAATATAGTACATTACAAATCGGACTTTTTTCTTCCTACAGTTGCCATAAAAGATCGTTGTAAACTCTATTGTCGGGTTGCTGGAACCACTAACTTCTACCAGTTGAAGGACAGGGTTGCTGATGGTACTCCTTGTGGAACTGAAACTAATGACATCTGTGTTCAAGGCCTGTGTCGGGTAAGAAAACTGTACATTTCTATTATATGTAAAGTGACTTTAAGAAAATCGTTTTTCTATTTCTCTAACAAAATATTATTTTTATTACTTTAGGATATGTTCTGATGAATTCTGGTTAAGCGTATTTTGATACCAAGCTGTCTATGAGTTTGGCTAGTCTCCTTACTAGGCAATTCTCTGTCATTGAGAATGACTTATAAAGCATTTAGGATTAATTTGCTGATTTTGCTTTGTTTCTTGTATTCATAATCAAGTTGGGAATAAGGTCAGCTTCCTCAAAAGAAAAAATTATATGATACAAGGGTTGTAAAGTGCTTTTGCTACTTCAAATGTAACCTTTCTTTGGGGATATTTTTCCTTCTACATTAAAGTCATTGGTATCCTTCCTCTCTCTCTCCCTGGCTCTCTGTCTCTTATTTTTTATGTGCACTCAACAAACATTGATTGAGTAGCAAGTAGATGTCAGATACTGTTGAAAATCACCAGGTCAAAGGACAGAACAGAGGCCCCACTTGCAAGATGGTCACAGATTCACATGGGGAGATAGTTGTGTAAACAATTAGAACGCTGCGCTGTGGGTCCTCTGCAGGGTAGCGTGGAGAAGTTAAGGAGGTAGTGCCTTATTTCACGTGGAAGTGGATAAAGGATTCAGAGAGCCCTTCATGGAGAGGGGAGGCTCATGCTAGGTATTGAAGATGAGTAGGTTTTAGAAAGGTGAGGAAGTAAGGGAGAAGGGTTGGAGCTTGGGACTAGCAAAGGGTTGGCACATGCACTTTTCTTCTTAACTTCTTGGGGATGCATAGACAGATTGAAAGTCTGGGGAGAACGGTGATTTGATTTGCTTGCTCAAATCTTAGACCCTTTAGAATGTTCTGGTTAGGAGAAGATTAGGGGTAGATGGGAAATTTAGCAGGATTCTAGGTGAGATCTTCAAGCACAGATTGCACATGTTGATCTTGAGGATGGATGGTGAGTTTGGGAGCTAGTGAAGGTGGTGAATGTGGACTATAGAATACAGCAAGTGTGCTTCTATGAGACCATCTTTTGTAGTTTTCACATGTGAGTGAGATCAGGCAGTATTTATTTTTTTTTTTTGCAGTATTTGTCCTCCTGTGCCTGGCTCATTCCATGTAACATATGTCCATCCTACAGGCCCATCCATGTTGCCACAAACGGCAGGATTTCATTAGTTTTTATGTCTGAGCAGTATTCCATAGTGTCTAGGAGCTGCATTTTCTTTATCCTGTGCATCCACGGTTGGACCTGAGGTTGGTCCTGTATCTTGGCTGTTGTGGGTGGTGCTGTGATAAACCTTGGAGGATAGCCGTCTCTTCAACATGCTGATTTCATTTCCTTTGGGCACATACCCACAAGTGGGATTGCTGGACCATATGGTAGTTCTGTTTCTGAGTGGATGTTTTAATGGATATTTAGTGTTGGTGGACGTCCTCTCAAAACAGAAATGATGACTACTGGAGTTAATGCATTTAAACCCTAGGAGTAACCATTCCACAATGTATATATACTTCAAGACATCATGTTGTACATAATGACATATGTTATCTGCCAATTTAAAAATAAAGAATATGTAAGTGTAGTCTGATGAACTCATACATTTCTTAAGATGGAGCTTAATAAGGTCAATTTCATTTCCCTATACAAAGTACTATTATCAATTTTATTTCCCTATAAAAAATACTAAGTGATTAAACGTCTTGCACCCGTGAGCTAATGAGATGTTTAAAGAGACTTAAAATAATTTACCCATTGGAAATTGCATAAACCCTAGAAAAAGATTACTCAGCAACTTGAAAAATTTATGTTTTATTTAAATCAACAGCAGAAAGTCTTAGGAAAATGCACCAATTATGAAGAAAATTATCAGAACATATAGGTGCTTACTACTTTGAGAAAATACATGGGTAAAATTTTCAATTTGGAAATATTTTCTTTGTGTGTAAAATAATCCATAAGGCTGGACGGTGCCTGTGGCTCAAGGAGTAGGGTGTCAGCCCCATATACAGGAGGTGGCAGATTCAAACCCAGCCCGAGCCAAAAACTGCAAAAAAGTAAAAATAAAAAATAAAAATAGGAATCCATAAGGCTTTTGTAATTTTCTCTTCTGATCACTAAATTTAGAGGACTGTTCCAAAGAACTAAAAGAGTTAACGCAGCGTATGCAAAGGATAGCATTTGCATGGGGAGGAGCTATATGTGTCTTTTGAAACTTCTGAAGTAAACTATTTACTTTCTTATTTATACATTTATTCATTCTTGTCTTAAACACCATTATGGTGTTCATTTGGGGGAAATTATTTCTTTCAGTGTTTTTTTGAAACTGAAATTATTATTGGAGTTCTAAGGCCATAAGTTAAAATTAATCATGAAAGGCTTTTTTTTAGAATATTCTAATATATCACATAATCATACTTTTGTTTCTTTGAATTATATTTTTTAAAGAGTGGTTTTCAAATGATAATGGGTATAAGAATCCATGTCAGTGTTACAATATGGACTTCTAGGTTTTTAACTCCAAGTAATTCAGAAAATCTGGGAATCTTGCCCTTTTAAATACCACTCCGTGTGATTCCCATGCAAGAGACACATGTATGTGGATGGGCCCTTCAAAACACTGCTTTTCAGACCACGTGAATGGGTGTGTGAAAATACTGACGTACTACGAGATTAGTAGATACCTGAAATAATCCTATTGCGCCAAATACCCTGTTAACTGAAAGAATTTTGTGAAATGAACTTTGTAAATTTTAAAGCACCATATTTCTAACGAGTTTTTACACTATCCGTTGTAATAATTCTGTTTTGAAGCAAGCTGGCTGCGATCACGTGCTGAACTCCAAGGCCAAGAGAGACAAATGTGGAGTGTGTGGTGGGGATAACTCCTCCTGTAGGACGATGGCAGGCATCTTCAACAGTGCTCATTATGGTAAGCTGTATTCTTGTTACTAATTCCCTCTTTTGTTTGATATAATAGTGGAGTAAGTAATGATGGTACAATGGGAAGGCCTTTTTGTTGTTTTATCTACTCTGTACCCTTAATCCAAAATGATGGTTAAAGGAAAAGTGAATATAAAAATTTAATTTCATTCTATACCAGATGTATCCTTGCATTAATAAATTCACCTGTCTGATGAAAATATGATTCTTAAGTATAATTAGATTCATTAGAGTAAATCCAGTGTTCTTTGTCTGTGATATGTGAATAGTTCCTCAATTAATGAAGTGCTTTTGCAGATGCTCCAGCAATCTAAAATGTTTCTGTTACGATTCTTTGTAGGAAACTTGCTTTTAAATATTTTCATTATCTAAACCATATTTTTTCCTTTGGTTTGACGTGGTCTATCTGTTGTGTTTCTTATTAATATTGAAAATATTGATGGAAGGAAAAGCATAAAACCATTAATTTAAGTGTTGGTTCATAATTTTTATCACGTTTGATTTTCCAGGCAGTATTTGGATTACAGATATAATTAATATTTGGTGACCAGGAATTTATTTTTATTCCAAACCTTATGGAAATATATCAGATATTTTCCAGGCTAAAATATTTTATACAAACATTTTTTAATAAAAGAAAGTAAAATCTACCCTTTAAAGTTACTTTAAGAATTAAAATTTATTTTTTAATGGCTTACTGATCAGCTTTACATTGTGTTCATGTTTTTGATCAGTTAAGTTAGTATTAGTGATTTCAATTAAAGCAGTGCAATTCGAAACTAAACATTTATGTCTTCGCTATATGAAAAGTGTTATGCATTTTGAACTCTAGTGATACTTATGGATCTTAGTTACTAGATCACTTGACATACTATTTTTCTAGTTGTTATTCATTAGTTCATGGGAGCCACACACATTTGATCCCCTGGTATAAACATCAGTACTATATTCAATGAATAAAAATTTTCCACAATAAAACCACACATCCAAAATTCTATGAAAATTGTAGTATGAATTAATTAATTTTACAAATGAGAAAAGGTGTTTTCTCATTTGTAGGATTTCACTAGCATTTGTCACATTTCTGCCCCCTGGTGGTAGCCTTCATCTTGTCACCTTGGCAATGCCATAGGCTTTCTTTCTTGAAAAAATATCCTATTCCTGCAAAGATAAGTATGTAATATGAGTGTTTTAATGTTGAGAAAGTATTTTTTCCTGTTTACTATAATGTTTCCTCTTTTCAGCAGTGCCAGTGTTGCTGAATTTGGTCTCTTAAAATGGAACTATTTACTTTCCTCACTTGAATAAACCTTTTACTTTTCTCATAGTAAGTTTTTAGTATACTTTTAAAAAATAATGTCAAATTTTGGGAATAGATAAAGAGATTCCTGGTATGAAAAGACTAAAAGATTGAGGAAAAAAATTTTTTGTTTTTTATTATTTTTTCGATAGTGAAATTTAAAAAATTTATCATTTTGCTGTTCAGTGAGTCTCTGTGAACATCTCATAGCAATGACCAATTATTTTGCTATCGCTTAGATTTGTGAATAGTACTGTGTGTTTGAAATCCTGTGTTTCTTTTCCCAGTAGACAGTATAAGAGTGTTAGTTCAGTTTAAAAATGAATGTATGTATTAAGTATCTCAGGAGCTAAAATATTAGCTTGATACCACTCTAATATTAAGAATTTTAGTAGAAAAAATTAGGAAAAATTAAGTAATTTGTGTAAGGCATTGGTTCAAAGAAATAACCACTTTATTATTTTTAAAAGGTAAAATGAAATTAAGGCTGACTATGCTATTCATATTTTCCAGTCATTCAGCAGTAATAACCTCTAGACCATCTGCTTTTTGTGAAATTTAACATGTGTAAAATTATATTGCAGGTTACAATGTTGTTGTAAAGATTCCCGCAGGAGCAACAAACATTGAAATTCTTCAGCATAGCTATTCTGGAAAACCAGAAGATGACAATTATCTTGGTAAACATTTCCAGTAAACAGCAGCCAATATGTGGTTCATGTGCAATTTCATGGAGGTCTGTGGTTGATGCAAATCCCTAGAACGCAACAGGAAAGACTCCCTTGAGCAATGTCGGTTCATACTGAGCTCAGGTCATCTGACTCCCTTTACATATGTTCTTCCTCAGCAAAATGTATTCTTTACAAAACATGTCCTTTTAAAAAACACTGAGTGAAATTCTGAAAAATAAATTTGTTTTTAGTCTTTTTCTGTAAGGGAATTTTAGAAAACCAAAGGTTATATTCAATTAGTTGCATATGTATTTGGAATAGAATTATCTTTTTAATCTAATGTTAATTATAGAACTCCTTGAGGTTAAATGTGTGGGTGTTTATTGTTTGTTTGTTTCGTTTTGTTTCATTTTTTTAAGACAGACACAGAGCCTTACTCTGTTGCCCAGGCTAGAGTCCTGTGGGGTCAGCCTAGCTCACAGTTACTCCAAACTCCTGGGTTCAAGAAATGCTTCTGATTTTTTCTCCCAAGTAGCTGGGACTACAGGCGCCCTCCACCATACTCAGTTAACTTTTCTATTTTTAGTAGAGATGGGGTCTCACTCTTGCACAGGCTGGTGTCAAACTCCTGAGCTCAACCAATCCACCCGCCTTGACCTAGTGTTAGGATTACAGGCGTGAGCACTGTTTTAAATAGTTTTCTTAATTGTTTTTTTTTACCATGTATAAAAAGCATTTAAATGAAATTTTTAAAATATCTCTTGTATACAAAAAAGATAGAAAAAAGATAGAAAAAGAACTGTGGTTTTTACATTGTTAGATGTAAATGAATGTAGTCACAGTATATAGTCTCTTAGTTATTTCTAGAATACAAACTTGATTTATATTATTTATTTCTAAATATTAGATTTCAGAATCAAAGAATTTCATTAAGGCACAAACATACAAAGAATGTTTTACAAACCTTTTTCTTCTAAGAACTATCTTAATGTTGACTTATGTGGAACTCACCAAGCTGAAGTAGGTGATATTGAGGAAGTATTTACTTTATGTTAATAAGATGTGTAGATATCGACCCAGATGCTTAATGTGTATTAACTGGTGACCTGAATCTCTAAGGAAGGGCTTTCCTCAGGAATCCCATTTGGCACTATAAAATCAAATGTAAAGGACACAGGTACTTAAGGTCTACAGGGTTTCCTTGTGGGGGAATGAAAATGTTTTGGAACTAAGTAGAAATGGTGTTTGTCCAACAGTGTGAGCAACCTGAAAGCCACTGAATTGTCCTTTAAAAATGGTTAATTTTATGTGACAGCAATTTCACCCCAATAAAAAGTATGACGTATTTCCCAAAGAAAATAAAATGTAAATATTTTGATTATCTTTTTATATAAGTTAACATTCCTTTCACTAAAAATGTTACCTAGTTACATATATGTAGATAATCTGCTACCATACTGTACATAAATAATTTCATAGGTTTCAGTTAGTTTCTAAATGTGGACGTATCTTTCTGGGGCTGCACCAGAGGTTTTTCTGGAATATCAAAACAAATGTTTTCAAAAAAAGGTTATTGTTCCACTGGGAAGCAAGCAAAAAAGTACTTGATGAATGTGGGGGTTTTCTTAGTGTAAATGTTGATTATTATCCGGAAAACTGAAAGTAAATAGCAGGGCACTTTATACTTAAGACACTTTTAAAAATAATTTCCAAGTATTTTCCATTTGATCCTGAAGAAAAACCTGTGAGATAGAATTTTTATCATTTCTATGATGCAGTTTAGGAAACCGAGTGAGAGGTTCGTCCAAGATTATTACATTTTGTCAATCGGAACAACTTGAACTAAAACCCATTGTTTTACCACCCACATTTGTTTGTCTCTTTATTATCACACTTCTATGGACAACATGTATGTTTGCATTTAAAAAGTAACAAATTCTGAATACATATCATAGTATAATTTTATATAGGTATAGTATATAAATACAGACACATAAACACATTTGACAGGCATGTATTAATACCTGTCCGTGGGAACGAGAGGAAAGCATGCACAGGAGGAAGATGGGAGTGTTAGACTGAAATTAGATACTGACGTGGTGTGAACAGTGATAGAATGCCTCTCTGTGAATAATCTAGCCCTCCTATAGAGGAGAGTCTAGACCAGTGTCATTCAGTCATAGAATGCCTCTTTGTGCATAATCTAGCCCTTCTATAGAGGAGAGTCTAGACCAGTATCATTCAGTGGTAGAATACCTCTCCGTGAATAATCTAGCCCTCCTATAGAGGAGAGTCTAGACCAGTGTCTTTCAGTGGTGGAATGCCTCTCTGTGAATAATCTAGCCCTTCTATAGAGGAGAGTCTAGACCAGTGTCATTCAGTGATAGAATGCCTCTCTGTGAATAATCTAGCCCTCCTATAGAGGAGAGTCTAGACCAGTGTC